CAAAATACTATACCCATTGTTTCGTATTCTGTCTTGTGTTGAAAGTTTGTTTTCACCTCATCCAAAACTGTTGTAACATATCACCTCATCCAAATGCAGGTATAAAATCAAATATATATATATATATATATATATATATATATATATATATATATATATATATATATATATATATATATATATATATATATGCCTATACTTGCATAAACCACAAGTGAAGATAAACAATCTTTGGACAACACCCACCAGTGGGACTCGAACCCAGAAAGCACAACTACCTTCCAGTAGCTGGCATAACTAGTATGCTTTAACCCACTACGCCATCAGACCTTACAAAAAGAAGTAGATAGTTCGAGATATATATATCTCAAACATCTCTACCTCCCGAAGGCACCAGATGAGTGAGGGGTCAGTCTGCAATTTTCGTCAAGCCACTGTCAATGTGAGAGAACTCGTGTCCAGCTTATAAGCCTATACTTGCATAAACCACAAGTGAAGATAAACAATCTTTGGACAACACCCACCAGTGGGACTCGAACCCAGAAAGCACAACTACCTTCCAGTAGCTGGCATAACTAGTATGCTTTAACCCACTACGCCATCAGACCTTACAAAAAGAAGTAGATAGTTCGAGATATATATATCTCAAACATCTCTACCTCCCGAAGGCACCAGATGAGTGAGGGGTCAGTCTGCAATTTTCGTCAAGCCACTGTCAATGTGAGAGAACTCGTGTCCAGCTTATAAGCCTATACTTGCATAAACCACAAGTGAAGATAAACAATCTTTGGACAACACCCACCAGTGGGACTCGAACCCAGAAAGCACAACTACCTTCCAGTAGCTGGCATAACTAGTATGCTTTAACTAGTATGATGGCGTAGTGGGTTAAAGCATACTAGTTATGCCAGCTACTGGAAGGTAGTTGTGCTTTCTGGGTTCGAGTCCCACTGGTGGGTGTTGTCCAAAGATTGTTTATCTTCACTTGTGGTTTATGCAAGTATAGGCTTATAAGCTGGACACGAGTTCTCTCACATTGACAGTGGCTTGACGAAAATTGCAGACTGACCCCTCACTCATCTGGTGCCTTCGGGAGGTAGAGATGTTTGAGATATATATATCTCGAACTATCTACTTCTTTTTGTAAGGTCTGATGGCGTAGTGGGTTAAAGCATACTAGTTATGCCAGCTACTGGAAGGTAGTTGTGCTTTCTGGGTTCGAGTCCCACTGGTGGGTGTTGTCCAAAGATTGTTTATCTTCACTTGTGGTTTATGCAAGTATAGGCTTATAAGCTGGACACGAGTTCTCTCACATTGACAGTGGCTTGACGAAAATTGCAGACTGACCCCTCACTCATCTGGTGCCTTCGGGAGGTAGAGATGTTTGAGATATATATATCTCGAACTATCTACTTCTTTTTGTAAGGTCTGATGGCGTAGTGGGTTAAAGCATACTAGTTATGGCAGCTACTGGAAGGTAGTTGTGCTTTCTGGGTTCGAGTCCCACTGGTGGGTGTTGTCCAAAGATTGTATATATATATATATATATATATATATATATATATAAATATATATATATATATATATATATATATATATATATATATAAATATATATATATATATATATATATATATATATATATATATATATATATATATATATATATATATATATATATATATATATATATATATATATATATATATATATATATATATATATATATATATATATATATATATATATATATATATATATATATATATATATATATATATATATATATATATATATATATATATATATATATATATATATATATATATATATATATATATATATATGTCGTACCTAGTAGCCAGAACGCACTTCTATATGCTTATATATGTTTGTGAGGGTACTACCTCTGGTGCCAATGTGGGGACCCATAGCCTCGGAGAAGAAAATATAAAGTATTCAAAGTCAGACCTTGTGGTTTCTCCCTGAACACCAATATTATCTTCTACCACCCCCATTCTTTTGTATGTACACATATATATTTGTTTTATTTGAACTTTGTTACAAAAAAGGAGTTACATATAGGGTACAAAGATGGTTACCATAGGTTGTCGAGTTCCTCCAGCTCCTCAGATGACGGGCAGGAACCTGAATGCAGTGCGCATTTCCCCTCTGTATCGCCACGCTGAGGCGCTGGAAAAGAAAGCTGGCAGCTCTAGGGTCCCTTGTTGTTTCAATGAGCCTAGAACCCAGTTCCTTCAAAAAACTGGTAGCACATTTACCCCAGGCGCCGAGTGTCTCAGAAGCAATGGGGAAAAAATTGTAGTGGTGATCCAGTTCTCTGTACTTATGGGATTTGGCTGCTTCCCTGTGGGTGGCAGCGCCACCTGGTTGTACAACACTGAGGTCAATGTAGGTGTTAGCTAGGGTTGATACGCATGTGTAGTCCCATACCAACTGCTTGCCATTCATCCAGGGGTTCACTGTGATACCATCCAGGCTACCAATAAGAGCATCGAGTTACGGGGCGTTAGGTAACGGGGCTCTATTTCAGCTGGGCATCCAGCTGTGGTGAGGCTCCTCTTGATGATGTCGTTAACTTCACTGTTCATACATATATATATATATATATATATATATATATATATATATATATATATATATATATATATATATATATATATATATATATATATATATATATATATATATGTTACAACAGTTTTGGATGAGGTGAAAACAAACTTTCAACACAAGACAGAACACGAAACAATGGGTATTGAAGGTAAGAATGGAAGTAATTGCAGAGGGCCTGTTGACCCATATTTCTTGATGCTTCTATATTGGAGCGGAGTCTTGAAGTGGGTAGAATATAGTTGTGCATTAATTGGCTGTTGATTGCTGGTGTTGACTTCTTGATGTGTAGTGCCTACCAGATGTCAAGCCGCCTGCTATCGCTGTATCTATCGATGATTTCTGTGTTGTTTGCTAAGATTCCTCTGGGGATGGTTTGGTTGTGGGAAGAGATTATATGTTCCTTAATGGAGCCCTGTTGCTTATGCCTCATTAAACGCCTGGAAAGAGATGTTGTTGTCTTGCCTATATACTGAGTTTTTTGAGGCTTACAGCCCCCAAGAGGGCATTTGAAGGCATAGACGACGTTGGTCTCTTAAAGCGTTCTGCTTTGTGTCTGGAGAGTTTCTCATGAGTAGGCTGGCCTTCTTCTTGGTTTTATAGTAAATCGTCAGTTGTATCTTCTGATTTTTGTCTGTAGGGATAACGTTTCTATTAACAATATCTTTCAGGACCCTTTCCTCCGTTTTATGAGCTGTGGAAAAGAAGTTCCTGTAAAATAGTCTAATAGGGGATATAGGTGTTGTGTTAGTTGTCTCTTCAGAGGACTTCGTGTTCTGTCTTATGTTGAAAGTTTGTTTTCACCTCATCCAAAACTGTTGTAACATATCACCTCACCCAAATGCAGGTATAAAAAATCGAAGATGTTTAAGCTGTCTCTTAAGATGTCTCTCTCTCTCTCTCTCTCTCTCTCTCTCTCTCTCTCTCTCTCTCTCTCTCTCTCTCTCTCTCTCTCTCTCTCTTTCACCATCTTTCAGTGAACAATCTTATACAATTAACACAACATGGGTTTGTTAAAAATAGATCCTGCCTTACAAACCTGCTCACATTTTTTAAAACAGTAACCAGCTACTCAGACAAAGGCCTTTCGGTGGATGTAGTATACATGGATTTTGCTGAAGTCTTTGATACAGTACCACATGAAAGACTTGCAAGGAAATTACAGGCCCATGGAATAAATAGTAAATTATTAGAGTGGATAAAATAATGGTTGAAACAAATAAAATAAATAGTCGTGCTAAATTGCAACGAATCTGACTAAAGAAATGTGATACGTGGGGTACCTCAAGGGGCCATTTTGAGGCCAACCTTGTTTTGTCATCCACATTAATGATATAGATGAGAATAATTCAAACCACATCATCAAATTTGCAGATGATACAAAGATATATGGTAAAGTGGGAAATTATAATGATAATGAAGCCTTACAAAGAATTCTACATGACTCCAAATGGTTAGATGACTACCAAAGCTTTTTATTATTGAGAAATGCATTACCTTGCATGTAGGTCATAGCAACCCACGCCACATCTACCAAATAAATAACATTACGTTACAGCAGATTGATGAAGAAGAAGACTTTGGAGTAAAAATCCACCACATTAAAAGTTGCACAACATGAAGGAGCAGCAGTCAGAAAAGCTAACCAAACCCTTTGAATAATCAAGCATACCTTTGACTTTAAGAAATAGAAGGTAGTGATTCAACTGTATAATTATCTGGAACGCCCCCCATTTGTATTACTGTATCCAAGCACGGAGACCCCATTTTCAGAAGGACATAGCTGCGCTGGAGAAATTGCAACACCGGGCAAGAAAAGTAATTCTATAACTAAGGCAACTCACGTATCAGGAACAGTTGAGGGCCACAGGGGTAACCACACTGCAAACCAGGCATGACAGGGCGGATGTCATTGTAACTTTTAAAATATTGAACAAGTTGGATGATGTTGATCCTGACAACTTCTTCATAAGCCACAATGAAAGACTGTGAACAGGAGATGTTTTTTCACTCACAGGGTTATAAATTCACGAAACCCCCTACCCCCCGAAGCCACAAATGCCAAAACACTACTTGGTTTTAAAATCCAGCTGGAAAAAGATCATCAGGGTAAATGGTGGGACCTTCGACAAACTGCCGCCTTCCTGTCTTTGTCGTGGCCACTAGTGATAGTGGCCCTCAGATAAATCAGGTAAGTAATTATCAATAGAATGCGCAAAGCGGGTAAATCAAGTAAAATAAAATGTTCTTAGAAAGCTATGTAAGGTGCTGAAGGATTTCGTTTCATAAAATTAAGAAATTGTTGGAAATTTTTCATAGAAAATTTAAGTAATTGTCTAGGAAGCTGAGTGAAAATATTATTTCAGTAAAGCTGACGTCGTGCGTCTGGCAGAACACGACTTCAACAGTGACGAAGATGGTGCCACTCCTGAGGACTTTAGTGTTGTTGAGACCGTCCTCCACCCTGACTACAACCCATTCCAGGCCTACAACGACCTTGCCCTCCTCAAGCTCAATCAGGATGTTAACATACAGGTAGATTCACTGTCATGTTCCCTAACTGTGCCCTTCTCTAGGCCTACCACGACCTGGCTCTCCTTAAGCTCTCCCGGGAGGTTAACATACAGGTAGGATCACTGCCATGTTCCCTAACTGTGCTCCTTGTGGGGAATTCTGACTTGTGGGATTTTATTTTATTTACTTTAATTATTAATTAATTGATTTATTTAAAGAATATTTATGATGTATAATTAATTTATTTATTATTTCTTTCGATAGCTTAGTGGACTGTATTTTATTGAGCAGACTGTATGGATTTAAATTCTCCCATAAGTCATATCTGAACACAACTTGGGGGGTTAATTAATTATAGTAGCCTATCAATCGAGAATTTATCGATTGACAGGAAAATTCTAATAATGTTAGTTTATTAATCTACTGGAGTTAGTTTGTACACCAATGCCTTATCTGATTTTAAGGCTTCAGTATGGTTAAAACTGTGGGCTTGTAGGCAATCTGCCAGATAAGGACCTCATGGTCTATGGCGTCTGTTCCCACATGAAGCAACAGGTTGAGGTCGCTTGGTTCCCTAGTGACCATAAGATCTGCTGGAAGAATGCAATATAACGACTGAAAATATACTTCCTATTACAGATGTGGCACGTTAAATTATTGAAATGATTGTTTAATAAGTTATTGTGAGAGGCTCACCCTGTGTTAGGGAGTCGCCCGCCTCATCACCGGTTGGCTATTATATAATATTATAGGACCCTGTAATAAAATGTGAATTATTTTGACCAACCGGATACGAGGTACTTTCGTTATTTAGAGGTTGCGACGGCTGAAGAACGTAAGGATGGCTCGTGTTACGAGTGCAAACGTAGCCGCCTAGATAGTGCCTAAACGAGCAGTTAACAGCTGCTCAACAACACATAATAATACTGACTTATGTCAGACCAATCCAGGAATATGCTGCTCCAGCTTGGAGTCCATACCTAATTAAACACAAGACAAAGAGAAGATTCAGCGGTGTGCCACCAGACTCGTCCCGGAACTGAGAGGTATGAGCTACGAGGAAAGGCTAAAGGAGCTGGATAACCACCTACAAAATTCTGAGGGGAACTGATAGGGTGGACAAAGACAAACTCTTTAGCACGGGTGGAACATGAACAAAAGGACACAGGTGGAAACTTAGTACCCATATGAGCTACAAAGATATTAGAAACAATTTTTTCAGTGTCAGAGTAGTGTTGAGAGGCGGGACCAAAGAGCCAAAGCTCAACCCCAGCAAGCATAACTAGGTGAGTTCATCTATCCATACAATAATAATATACAAAAAATAACATGTAGTAGCATACACACGTATATAATATCATAATATAATAAATGACCAAACGTCACATGGTAAATAATGAAAATAACTGTACATTTACATTAAAGAATGACCACAGTGCTTTGGGGCGCTGGTAGCTGAGTGGACAGCGCGCGGGATTCGTAATCCTGTTGCCTGGGTTCGATTCCCGGCACCGGCGAGGAATAATGGGCAGAGTTTTTTCACCCCTGATGCCCCTGTTACCTAGCAGTATATAGGTACCTGGGAGTTAGACAGCTGTTATGGGCTGCTTCCTCTGTGTGTGTGTGTGTGTGTACTCACCTAGTTGTATTTGCGGGGGTTGAGCTCTGGCTCTTTTGTCCCGCCTCTCAACTGTCAATCAACTGGTGTACAGATTCCTGAGTCTATTGGGCTCTATCATATCTACATTTGAAACTGTGTATGGAGTCTGCCTCCACCACAACACTACTTAATGCATTCCATTTGTTAACTACCCTGACACTGAAAACATTCTTTCTAACGTCTCTGTGGTTCATCTGGGTACTAAGTTTCCACCTGTGTCCCCTTGTTCGTGTTCCACCCGCGCTATAGAGTTTGTCTTTGTCCACCCTGTCTATTCCCCTGAGAATTTTGTAGGTAGTTATCATGTCTCCCCTGTGTGTGTGTGTACTTACCTAGTTGTACTTACCTAGCTGTGCTTGCGGGGGTTGAGCTCTGGCTCTTTGGTCCCGCCTCTCAACGGTCAATCAACTAATGCACAAGTTCCTGAGCCTACTGAGCTCTATCATATCTACACTTGAAACTGTGTATGGAGTCAGCCTCCACCACATCACTTCCTAATGCAATCCATTTGCCTACTTCTCTGACACTGAAAAAATTCTTTCTAACGTCTCTATGGCTCATTTGGGCACTCGATTTCCACCTGTGTCCCCTAGGAGAGCCGGTGGCTGAGCGGATAGAACACTGGACACTTGAGCCTGTGGTCCCAGGCTCGATCCCGGGCGCCGGCGAGAAACAATGGGCAGAGTTTCTTTCCCCTGATGCTCCTGTTACCTAGCAGTAAATAGGTACCTGGGAGTTAGTTCGCTCTCACGGGCTGCTTCCTGGGGGTGGAGGCTTGTTCGAGGACCGGGCCGCGGGGACACTAAGTCCCGAAATCATCTCAAGATAACCTCAAGATAGTGTGTGTGTGCCCCTTGTGTTAAAATGTCTGTCTTTATCTACCCTATCAATTCCTCTGAGAATCTTGTATGTGGTGATCGTGTCTCTTCTAACTCTTCTGTCTCCTAGTGACGTGAGGTTTAATTCCCGTAGTCTCTCCTCGTACCTCATACCCCTCAGTTCGGGTACTAGTCTGGTGGCAAACCTTTGAACCTTTTCCACTTTAGTCTTATGCTTGACTAGATATGGACTCCATGCTGGAGTCGCATACTCCAGGATTGGTCTGACATATGTGGTATATAATGTTCTGAAAGATTCCTTACACAAGTTTCTAAAGGCCGTTCTTATGTTAACCAACCTGGCATATGCCGCTGATGTTATCCTCTTGATATGAGCTTCGGAGGACAGGTTTGCGTGATATCAACCCCCAGGTCTTTCTTTCTCTCTGACTCTTGAAGTATTTCATCTCCCAAATGATACCTTGTATCCGGTCTCCTGCTCCCTACACCTATCTTCATTGCATTACATTTGCTTGGGTTAAACTTTAACAACCATTTGTTCAACCATTCCTGCAGCTTGTCCAGGTCTTCTTGAAGCCACAAGCTGTCCTCCTCTGTCTTAATCCTTCTCATAATTTTGGCGTCGTCAGCAAACATTGAGAGGAATGAGTCTATACCCACTGGAAGATCATTTACGTATATCAGAAACAGGATAGGTCCGAGTACAGAGCCCTGTGGGACTCCACTGGTGACTTCACGCCAATCTGAGGTTTCACCCCTCACTGTAACTCTCTGCTTCCTATTGCTTAGGTACTCCCTTATCCACTGGAGTACCTAAGCAATACTGACTCCTGCCTGTGTCTCTAGCTTATGCATTAGACTTTTATGGTGTACCGTGTCAAAGGCTTCCCGACAGTCAAAAAAAATGCAGTCCGCCCATCCTTCACTTTCTTGCTTAATCTTTGTCACCTGATCGTAGAATTCTATTAAGCCTGTAAGGCAAGATTTACCCTCCGTGAATCCATATTTACCCTCCCTGAACCCATGAAATGTGTGTTTTTTTATGTGTGTGTGTGTGTGTAATTACCTAAGTGTAGTTACAGGATGAGAGCTACGCTCGTGGTGTCCCGTCTTCCCAGCCCTCTTTGTCATATAACGCTTTGAAACTACTGACGGTCTTGGCCTCCACCACCTTCTCACCTAACTTGTTCCAACCGTCTACCACTCTGTTTGCGAAATTGAATTTTCTTATATTTCTTCGGCATCTGTGTTTAGCTAGTTTAAATCTATGACCTCTTGTTCTTAAAGTTCCAGGTCTCAGGAAATCTTCCCTATCGATTTTATCAATTCTTGTTACTATTTTGTACGTAGTGATCATATCACCTCTTTTTCTTCTGTCTTCTAGTTTTGGCATATTTAATGCCTCTAACCTCTTCTCGTAGCTCCTGCCCTTCAGTTCTGGGAGCCACTTTGTAGCATGTCTTTGCACCTTTTCCAGTTTGTTGATGTGCTCCATATACTTATTTTGTCCAGGTCATCTTGAAGGGCATGACAATTATCTAAGTTTCTTATCCTTCCTATTATCTTTGCATCATCAGCAAACATGTTCATATAATTCTGTATACCAACTGGTAGTGTGTGTGTGTGTGTGTGTGTGTGTGTGTGTGTGTGTGTGTGTGTGTGACCAACTGTGTACCGTTTGCGTGGGTGTGTGTGTGTGTGTGTGTGTGTGTGTGTGTGTGTGTGTGTGTGTGTGTGTGTGTGTGTGTGTGTGTGTGTGTGTGTGTGTGTGTGTGTGTGTGTGGAAAAAATTAGTTAGTAGTTAGTAACAGTTGATTGATTGACAGTTGAGAGGCGGGCCGAAAGATCAGAGCTCAACCCCCGCAAGCACAACTAGGTGAATACAGCATATCCAATCATAACGGACATATGCTTGGTCATGACAATGATGTTCTGACATGTGCAAGTGTTGTGTATAGAGCTGATGTTATTCCTCTTTATATGAGCCTCTAGAGATGAGTTATGATCACTACCAGGTCTTCCTCTCTAGTTGTTTTAGGGAGATCGTGTTCTGGCCTTTCTGCTCCTGTTCCCATTTTCATCAACTTGCACATGCTGGTGTTGAACTCTAGCAGTCATTTCTCGGACCACTTCTGCAGATTATTTAAGTCATCTCGAAGATCCTCATCTATAATTCTTCATCTGTCTCAACCTTTCTCATTAGTTTTGCATCAACTGCTAACATCGACATTTAAAACGGCTCTTGCTGAAGTATGGAGTTAGCAACGTAGACCATAAAAAATCATTGCCCCCATCATCAGAGGGCCCAGGTCAATGTTGCACGGGTCCTCTGATGGCCCATGCAACATTGCAAACGGTGCTAGCAATGTTGCAGGTAACAGTGCAAAAGTAGGGATGCAATATGCTGTGTAGCATACAACATTGTTCAGATAAAAATTGAGGTTTGCAACATGTTACTGAAACATGTTACTGAAACATGTTTGCAACATGTAGCAACATAAAGAAATGGGGTTGGGTGTAAG